CGTAATCACCTCTAATATAGTATTAAAATTTGGATGAGCTAATATGTAAGATATCTGATGAAGTCGAATATGGACTTGCTACCCATCCCTAATCGTGAAGCAAATTGAATCCAACTTTGATTAGAAAGGCATATCTATAAAAAGTTTCTTTAAAAAGAAAAAAAAAACTCTTGTGCCAAATCTTTTGGATTTTTTAGGAAAAACATTCCTATTCATATTAATCGTTCAACTTTGATTTTTTAATAATTTGATTCTCTACTAAATTTTTGAAAGCTAAAGTATTACTTCAAAGAGATAGTCTTTGTTGGATAATCTTATTGCTTCAAAGAGGAAAGCAATAAGCAAGAGGCCCGAAGATTGAAGTCCTTTTCTTTAATTTCCTAGACTTATCAAATCTTACGTTACTGTTTGTACGTGAAGCACAATTTTTTTCACCTCCATTTGGGTGTTCTTCATATGTATTGATCTTTACGATTATGTAGATTTATATAAAGAATGTATCATGTATATTCTAAATCATGTTATATTAGATTATAAGATTTCAGTAACACAAATATTTCGCTGTTGTATCTCAAAATTATCGTGTGGACAAAATATTCACCTAGTGATAGATAAAAATAATAAGGATGTGCTGGCCAAATATTCACTTTGCGATGATAGGTAAAGATAGCTAAATCTAGTTGGGCGCAAGAGTAAGTAGATGTTGATGATCGTTTATTAATCAATAGGAGATATTTTACATCTTAAACCTAAAAATTATTATATTATAAGTTTCGTAATTTGGCACAAGATTCATTAATTTAGATAATTTTGCACAAGGTACCAACATCAATAAATAATATTGTAATTTACTTTTTAATAAGAATTTAACTTTTAATATATTCTTGCTAAGCACAAACATAGAGACTAGTGTATATATATTTTATTATTATAAAAGCACGAATAGTTTATGCTAAATGTTGAACGACTAAAATATCTCCGAAATATTGATCGACTTTTATGCCCATAAATATTTGTATAATTTAAGAATCTAATTGTAAATTACCTAATGATGAAATTCTTTTTCGATTTAAACTACGCATACACTTGATCCTACTTGGATTAGAAGTGTCACGACCCGAAATTTTCTACCGACGGGACCGTGATGGCGCCTAACATTTCACTTGTTAGGCAAGCCAATATTAGAAAAATCGCTAAACCAATTCCTTATTTCCATTCAGTAAATAACCATAATTAACTAAGATAAAATATATTAAGTGCGGAATATCTTAAAACTGTATTAATTACTACCACCCGGATCTGGAGTCACAATTCACGAGCATTCTAGAATTTACTACAAGTAATAGTCTGAAAGAAATACAACCGTTTGAATGAAAGAAAACAATAGGGCATAAAAGATAGACGGGGACTTCAAGGTATGTGAACGCCGACAGATCTACCTTGAGTCTCCGGACAGCGGACCAGTAGCAAATCTCGATCAACCTGAGCCGATATCAAAATCTGCACAGAAAGTACAGAGTGCAGCATCAGTACAACCGACCCCATGTACTGGTAAGTATCGAACCTAACCTCGACGAAGTAGTGACGAGACTAAGACAAGGCATCTACAATCAACATGTACAATTTAATAGTGTATATGCAAATAACAGAAATGAAGAACCAAACAGGAAGTGTCGGGAGGGGAACATACTGAGGGGAATACAAGATAAAGAACTACAACAAAGTGATCATCGGAGAAGTCAATATACCATGAATCAACAGGAATAGTGAATACAGTAAGAAAAAATGCACGGCATCATCCTTCGTGATTTTACTCTCAATCTCACCATAAAATAAATAGAAATGGCACGGCATCACCCTTCGTGCATTAACTCTCATATCATGGCATGATATCACCCTTCGTGCATTAACACTCACAATATGGTACGACATCACCCTTCGTGCGTTAATACTCATAATATGGCACGGCATCACCCTTCGTGCATTAACACTCTCCCTTACCATAATGTAATGCATAAATATCAACATGGAGATAGAATAACAAGTACAAACCTTACCTCAATATTTGGTTCCATAACATCAATCTCAACTTTGAAATAAAAACTCAATTATCACCAGAAAATCCATAAACATGATAAGAACGATAAATTGAACAACACTAGTATACCACATCGCAATTAGGCATAGGAATGAGACAATATAAGAAAAACTGAGAAACATGGAAAACAAGTAAATTTGGCGGCGCATAAGTACTTGTCACCTCACATATATGTCGCTTACATGAATTTCTCTTAGCAAGTAATCTAAGGTTCCTAATTCCCCCAAGTCAGGGTTAGACACAACACTTACCTCGCTCCGAAGGCCACTTAATTCTCAATCACAACTTTTTCTTTGGAATTCATCTCCAAACCACTCATATCTATTAAAAAATAACTCAATAATATTAAATATTGTTAAAAGAATCAATTATATTGCATAAATTAATTTCCTAAATTTTCCTCCAAAAAGTTCGACCCCAGGCCCGCTTGGTCAAAACCCGAGGTTCGGACCAAAATTCTTTTACCCATTCATCCCCGAGCCCGAATATGTATTTAGTTTTGGAATCCGACTTTAAATTGAGGCCTAAATCCCCAAATTCCCGAAATCCCTAGTTTTTACCCTAACCCCTAATTCTACCATGAAAACTCTAGATTTTAGGTTGAAAATTCAAGAAATGTAATGAGTAATTGAAAGAAAATGATTTAGAATTGCTTACCAACAATTTGGGGGAGGAAATAACTCTTGAAAAATCGCCTCTCACCTTTTGGTTTTTGAGAAAAATAAATTTTTGGCTAAAATCCCGTTTTTGGGTTCTGTTAAGTGCTGGGCGACAGTGTTCATCGCGTTCGCGAGAGCACTGTCGCGTTCGTGAGACAATGCTCACGTTCGCATAGGCTACCCTTCCCTGGTCTTCGCGTTCGCGAGTCATTGTTCGCGTTCGCGATGAAGAAAAAGTTGTCTGCCCCTCCCCAGTGCCTAACACTACGCGTTCGCGATGGGCTTGTCGTGTTCGCGAAGGGTAACGCCCCCATTGCTTCGCGTTTGCGACCGAGCCTTCGCGAAGATGAAATCCTCAGCTGTTCAGTTTACTCTTCGCGTTCGCGAGAGTACCTTCGCGAACGCGAAGAAGGACATGCCAGAACACAGACTCTGCAGAAAAACCAGATTTTTAAAGTCCAAAATATCCCGTGGCCTATCCAAAACTCACCCGAGCCCTTGGGGCTCCAAACCAAACATGCACACTAGTCTAAAAAATCATACGAAATTGCTCGAGTGATCAAATCGCCAAAATAACACCTAGAACTACGAATTTAGCACCAAATCAATTGAAACTCTCAAGAACACTTTAAAATTACTATTTTCTCAACTGGACGTCCGAATCACGTCAAATCAATTTCGTTTCTCACCAAAATTCACATACACGTCTTAAATATCATAATAAACCTGTACCGGGTTCCGGAATCAAAATACGAACCCAGTACTAACAATGCAAAACATCAATCAATTCTTAAAAATAATTAATTTTCACACTTTTAATTTTCATCAAGAATTCATAACTTCGGGTATACGCCCAGGTCCCATAATTCGATACGGACCCATCGGGACCGTCAAAACATGGATTTGGACCCATTTACCAAAAATATTGACTGAAGTCAACTAAAATTAACTTTTAAGGCAAAAATTCTTATTTTTATTAGTTTTCAACATAAAAACTTTCCGAAAACCTGCCCGGACTGCGCACGCAAATCGAGAAGGATAAAAATGAGATTTTTAAGGCTTAAGAGCGCATATTCGAGTTCTAAAACATAAAATGACCTTTTGGATCATCATAAGAAGACACATCCATAATTTCCTCTTTTTTTATACGTAAGATACTTATGTGCATATAATGAAATTGCATACATGGAGGCTGGAGCTATAAATTCTTTTTGTATTTTGTGATTTGTTTTATTTTCTTGTATGATTTTATTACTTTCTGACAAAAATTGAGCCAATATGTGTTGAAATAGGGAGGAAAAAAGCTAAATAAAAAACTTAAAATTTTGTAAGATGCTTATGTGAATATAATGAAATTGCATACATGGAGGCGGGAGCTATAAACTCTTTTTGTATTTTGTGATCTGTTTTATTTTCTCGTATGACTTTATTGCTTTCTGACAAAAAATGAGCCAATATGTGTTGAAATAGGGAGGAAAAAAGCTAAATAAAAAGCTTAAAGTTTTGACTAAACCAACCATAATTAAATTATTCATCTTTGAAGCCTAAAAACTTACATATAACTAATTATTTAGAATTCAAAGGTCCTTAAATACAATAAAGTTTTATTATACCTTTGTAATTAATAGAGTTTTATACCTTAAAAAAAAATCATTCCCTCGAGTAAGTAATAGATGAGTTTTTCATGTACAAAAAACTTATTATATATACAAGTCTTTCTAAATTTATAGTAAAAATAACTAAAGAGACATACTCATATATTTATTAGTCTTTCTAAAACCAGCCGTATTCGGCCAAAAACAAAGATGGAGAGGATACAAGCATGACAAACTATACCAAGTAAGGGAGCAAGCACATGCCTCCTTACATTAATTTGATGAATGAAAGCAAATTAAAGCTTATGCAGATAGATTTCTACTACTTCAGTATCTATTTTATAGTTCAACTAAATATATTTTGAATATTAATGTGGTTAAAAATATTACCGTTTTTTACATAATTTTTTTTTACTAAATGACAATAATTCTATAGACGACGTGGCAATGCACGTGTATGGAGACTAATAAAATAAAAAAGGACGAATAAGTTCTATTATCCTATGTTATTTAGTTCTTTAAATTCCCGGGATTTCACAAATAAAAAAAGAAAAAGATAGTACTTGACTATTTTTCATAAATTTTTTCTGGAATTTAGTTAAGAAAAGAAAAATTAAAAAGAAAAGAAATAATCCCGTCAGTCGTCGTAAAGTTTACGCTGTCGTGTAATAAACAAATTGGGGATCCCTTCTTCCCTACTCGCTCCAAATTTACTTGCTCTGCAACTCAGAAAATTAGGGTTTCCAATTCCCCAATCCCATCAAAAACCCTAATAATCGATTTGAAACAAACTTCTCTTCAGATCTCCATAATATCCAATTGTCAATTCATTGATCTTCTTGTCAATGATCAAACCCTATTCACTCGCTTGGGTTTATCTTCCAAAGATCCACTGACGATTGAATTGAAGATCACACACAGAGGATATTATAGTAGTATAGGGAGTAATGGATATGGATGGAAGCAAGCGCATTTTCCAACGGTTGGGTCCTCATTCACAAGGAGGGGACAACAACAGTAACAAACAGCAAAAAGTTTGTTTCCATTGGAGGGCAGGAAGGTGCAACAGATTTCCATGTCCTTTTTTACACAGAGAATTACCGGCACCGCCACATCAGCAGCAACAGCAGCAGCATAATGGGATGCCGTCATCTTCATCGAAGCGGCCTCATGCTTTCTCTTCGGATTATGATAATCGAGGCAGTGCAGGCGGAGGAGGAATGCGTAGGAATCCGAATTTCAACAATACATGGGGGAGAACTGCTGCTGGTGGAGGTGCAGTTGTGAGGAAGATGGAGAAAGTTTGTAATTATTGGGTAAAAGGGAACTGTACATATGGTAATACTTGTAGGTTTTTGCATTCTTGGACTACTGGCGATTGCTTTACTTTGTTGACCCAACTCGAAGGCCACCAAAAGGTGATCATTTGTACTCATGTTGGATATCAATTTGTATATTCTTGATTATTATACTGTTTAACAAGTATGGGAAGACTCATTATGCCAGATTATGTGTTTTATTTGAACTGGAATGCTGTTACGGTCAGAGGCGGATGTAGGATTTGAACTTTAATGAGTTCCAATTCTTAATTCTACCACATTCCATTAACTCTACTTTACTGTGTTCAAAATCTATTATTTGTACTTATTTAGTGAGTTTTCATATTGTTAACACATCTAAGCGGTCTACCACGGATGAACCTGTAGCTTATTCACTAGATTGCCCATGGTTATGGTAAATTAAATGGATTTCGCAAACAGGTTGTTGCAGGGATTGCTTTGCCATCAGGCTCGGATAAGCTTTATTCAGGGAGTACGGACAAGACCGTAAGAGTGTGGGATTGCCAGTCTGGACAGGTTCTCCTCATTCTTTCCTTTTCAGTTTTTGAAGTTATGAAGCGCGAAAATTGGAATAGGAAAATTGTCTTCGTCTNCTAGCTGGTACGGAGGTAGGTGTATACAGTTAGTTATAATTTTAAAAAAAGGAAGAGATATGGAATGGAAGTGCATGCTTGTACAACCTGGTCTCTCTATCTGAAATTTTGTAAATTAACTGGGAAGTACTGCAGGATGGGATATTAGCATGGAAATATAATGGGAGCACCAACTGTTTTGAACCAGCTGCACAATTGAAAGAACACACCCATCATGTGGTATCACTGGTTGTTGGAGCCAACAGACTATATTCTGGTTCCATGGACAATTCAATAAGAGTAAGTCGGTTGGACTGTGATGTGAATTCTCACATCATCTTATGTTTTTCTATTTCGTCTTGATGCCTAGAGAAAGCTAGGGATTTAGAGTTCTGCAGTTTGACCTAGATGTTGCAGTTGCTACCTTTTGTTCTTACTGTTGCTATCATGACTTCAGGTATGGAACCTTGAAACTATGCAGTGTCTACAGATCTTGACAGGTCATACAAGTGTTGTTATGTCTGTTCTATGCTGGGATCAGTTTCTTTTATCATGTTCATTGGACCAAACAATAAAGGTTTATGTTTGTTCTTTTGCTTGAAATTCAGCTCTCTTAAGCTTATTCAATCATGTGTTGATTTGATTGTGCTTGTTTTTTATAGGTCTGGGCTGCTAACGAGAGTGGGAACTTGGAGGCTACGTATACTCACCAAGAGGAAAAGGTATACGAGACTACTTCTATCTATCGATATTACCTAATGACGTTTTGGTGTATGCTCACATATCAGTGTATTAATTACGTCATAACTGAAACCAACTCATTCGTTGAAAACCAAGTTTTAGGATTTACCTTCTGGAAATGATATGTTAGAGAAAAGAGAGAAAATAGAAAAGGAAAAGTGACAGAAGCTTAGAATTATCTATAAGTTTGATAGGGATGAGAGTCATAAAGTGGTTGCTAGTTTATTGTTGACGGAATATTCGTTAAATATTATAAAGTTCTTTATAACTGAATTTATATTTGTGTTTCAAACTTTTAATACACTTGATAGGGAAGAGAGCCATAAAGTGGTTTAAGTTTATTGTTGATGGAATATTCGTTAAATAATTATAAAGTTCTTTATAACTAAATTTATAGTTGTGTTTCAAACTTTTAATACACTTGCTAGATCAAAAAGTTAGTCTACATTGATGTTATTGAATATTCTAAACTTAATTAGTAAAAGAGTAATATACGTAGTACAAACTAAAAGGAAAATTAATACACCCATCGTCCCAAATGAATGATAGGGTTATTAGAACTTTTTAACTTTTAGTTTGTTTCGGATGATGATTGCTCTGCTTTGTTTAAAATACAAATACAAAATTACATATTTGGAACTGCAATAAAATACTAGAAAGCACTCCTTTAAAATTGAGATATTCGAAAAATGTTTGAAAAAATTGTAGCAAAAGAAAATTTTATTTGAATATCCAGATTGTAATAATGGTGTAAAATGGTTCATAGGGTTAACAGTGATATTGAAATCGTTCTACAGGGCATTTTGGCCAAGTAAAAATTTGAGTTTTTTTTTTTTTTTTATTTTTATGAATTGAATTCTGAAAACTTGGGCCTTTTACTTAATAATTATGTTTCATACAATTATTATGTTAAGTTGCTAAATAAAGATAGTATAACATACAAGCTAAAAATTAACTAAATGCTGTAAAAGAAGTGAACATTTAAATTTTTGAAATAGAATTTAGATTTTAATTTATTATTCAGCTCTAATGAAAAAAAGATGGGATATTATGTTAGCATCAGAGAGAGGAGATTAGCTAAAAAATTGAGTATATTGGGTGGGAAATGGAAGTAAAAGAGAGCAAGATTTAGTGATGTGGGACAAGAGAATCTGCGAATGATAGGAAAAAGATGGTTGCTTGCCATTCACTTTCGTTGGCATTGGATGAATAAACACTATAAGGCCCTGCTGAGGAAACGAGAGGAAAAACCTTCGCCGGATTTCCCCGTGTGGAAGGCTTATGGAGCTGGCCATGAGTCATAGGGTGGTTCTGATTTCAATACCCGTCAAAATCAGCAAGGACTAATATTAGTGTGGACAGGTGCTCTCAGAATTACAGAAGTTAATAAAGATTCTTCAGAAGTGGTTTTGGAGTTCTCCCTAATTGATCCTCCTCCTTGCGGAGGATCATATACATGGTTTGGAAATAATATTGATACCTTTGCTTCTAGAGTTGATAGATTTTTTTTTATTCTAAAGCAAAGAGTATAGCCTGGAGTTCTCATCTGTTGTCATTGATCCTTGTCCTATTTTACTGGAGTGTGGGAGTGAGACAAAACAAAACCACATTCGAGATCGACCGGTTGGCATGCGTTAGATAGTTATGGTTTTGAGGATTTAGTGGTCAAATGGTGGAAGTTAGACATAAAGGAATAAAACATTAAGATGCCTTAAGAAAAAACATTAAGATGCCTTAAGAAAAAACATTAAGATGTCTGAATAATTGAAAGAAAATAAATCCAGAATTAGAGAAAGAATTGTACAGATGGATAGCATGATGGCGAGCGCGTGAGAAGATGTGGGAAAAAAATTGGCATTGCTCTATAAACCGCGATATATCTAAAACCAATCCTGGAGATCAAAGCTCAAATCTTCTGGGTTTACAAGATGGTAAAAAGGCTAAACTTTTAAAGAATAGCAAAAACTCATAATGAATGCAGCTCAATTAACAAAATGGAAATAAGTGGGAATTCAGAGGAAGATCCTGTACATCACACGGAATTATGAATTATGAGAATCTCTTGAACAAACTGGAGAGATTATAACTTAGCTACCGTATCGGTTGAATAGAAGGAATGATTACAAAGATCATTTATAGAGATTGAAGAAGGAAGTTGAACAGGTCATCAAACAACTCGTTGGAGATGAAGTTCCTGGCTAGTCTGTTTCACCATGATAACTTTTCAGAGATGCTGTGTACTGATGATACATTAATTTATGTGGTGCTGAAGAAACAGAACTACTATATCTGAGGGTTTTATATTACTGGTTTTCGAGCCAGTGTCTGGCCTCCATATGAATCTGCCAAGGAAAACTATTTATTCACGGCAGTTTATTTTGGGCAACATAGAAATGTTCCTACCCTCTATCTTTGGCCGCATTTGGGAGCAAAATTCATGACAATGGAGTCTACAAAAGAAATGAAAAAAGCTGGTGCCTTTGGAAGAAGCAATATGTCTCTTTTAGGAAAGATTGACTTAGATAATAGTATATCCGCTAACCTATCGAATGTTCATGGTGCATATTCCAGATAGAACTGAGAATCGTAACACATTAAGAAATGATTTTCTATAGGAAGATAATCAGGATAGGAAGGAGCTGCACCTTAGTGTGATGTAAAGCAATCTTAAAATATAGTGGCCGAATGGCGGGGAACTTATGACTGCATAATAAGAGTCTCTTGTTCGAATATGGCTGGGGATATAATGTTGGAAGAGAAGAACTGTGAAAGGTGTTTAAAAAAAAGACATAAAATGACTGGTGGACTAGATCTGGTACCTTATCTTATAGAATTGCAATTTGGAAATGCATTAGAAGTCTCCAGGAATAGTTCCTAGATAAGTAAGATCTAATAGGAAGAAGGATATTTTGTTGGCAGTCTAGCAGATATATAATACTACTTTGTAAGACAGGTTTCTAGATTTATACATGCTTTTGATTAATAAATAAAGCTCTCTAGCGGAATGTCTCAGTGGGTGTAACTGGAATGCCCAATTTAGGAGGAACTGGAATGACTGGGAGATCAATAGAGTTGATTTTCTATTGGAACATTAAAGAAGGTGCTTTTTTCTGTGCGTCTGGTAGTATCTCAGTAGGGGGATTGGATTCGGAAAATTCAACCGCTGTAAGAATGGTAGTGTTACTTATCTTCTGTAACATTTAAAGGAGGTTAGGTTGATTGAAGACCAAAGTGATTCTCTAAATTGGATGGCTGGAGGGGATGGTAAATTTCTGAAAGGTCATGTTTGAGACAATTGTCAATAGCCTTGGAGGAAGATATGGAAAACCAGTGCACCAATAACCTATGTTGCTTCCCCGTAGGGCCCTTTATTTGCTATCTTAATTTATCATTTGAAAAAAATAACCTAGGTTGCTCGGACTCTCCGGTAATGCCGCCGGGTGTATGTCAAATCCTCCAAAAGTAGTGCATTTTTGGATGATCCAACACGGTTGCAGCAGCAACATAGCCAACATTACAGACTTGCTTTGCTTGGACTGTCCTACACTATACTTGCTGCTTGACACCGCACAATTTGCAGAAAAGAGGCTATAAACTGTACAACATTTCCTTTTTTTTTTTTTGTGAGAAGCAGAACATGTTTTTTTAATGAAGTTCTGCAGAAACAGTTCACATCCTCTTGCACTGTAAAAATATGTGAAAACTTTGGTGCATGTTTCTGAACCTTTATGGGGGACAGCATGTGATGCCAGTAAATTTTGAACTTGCAGTATCCAGTTAGCAAAGGTTGTTGAAGGAACTTAATAAATCTGTATTCATTTTAGTATATTTCGGACGGTTTATCTTGAAAAGAAACATAGGTGCTTTGAGGGGAAAACAAAGCACTTATCTTTAGTTTAAATGTCGACAAAATGTGAAATATTGTTGTGACATGAAATTTGTAGGTGATATAGAGGCAGTATCGGAGTTTCTAGTCTGCACACACTTGGAGAATTAAATCCAGTGGATCTTTTGTACTCAGTCAGTACATTCTTGTTTCTCTAATTATGTGAATAAACTTACTTAGAGAAAAATAGATTAGTAAAATAATAAAATAGAGTATTTTGTTCCTTTCTTGATCTCTTGTTGGTTGTAAAAACTAAAAAGTGATCATATAAAGAAAATATGTTGTGCTATTATTTTCTTACGTATCATGTGTAATATTTCTAACTTTCTTGTGGTTGAGGCATATTTGTTGTGTTTTAATATTTAACTATTTCAACAAATAGCTTTATATTAAAGCATTAAGTGGTAGAAATATCAAATAAGAAAACAACTAATTAATTGGTAGAAAATTAAAAAGGCCATCTAGTATAACTTTTAAAAAAGGGTCATCTAATTTATGTCATAATTATTATTTTTGGTGATCAAACAACATTTTCTTTTATTATGAGTTTCTGAAACATTCTTAATTGTGAGAACAACAACAACAACAACAACAATCCAGTAAAATCCCACTAATGGGGTCTGGGGAGGGTAGTGTGTACGCAGACCTTACCCCTACCCCAAAGGAGTAGAGATGCTGTTTCCGAAAGACCCTCGGCTCAAGAAAATAAAAAGACAAACGGACAAAAGGAGACAATATTAGTATCACCACAACGATCATAGGAAAAATAGGAACACCATGAAATGCAGAAGAAAGATGCAAAGCAAAAGCGATAGCTAGTAAATAGGATATGCACTGAAAAGCGAAGTAGTAAAACACAACATTGTCACTAGCTATCTTAGACAAAAACCCTACCTGGCTAGTCCCACAGTGGTACGAAGTAAGTCAAGACTCAACTACATCCTAACCTACAACTCTAATACTCGACCTCCACATCTTCAGCCTCGCTTCCCGCATCTTGTCATCAATGGGAGCCGCGTGCACCTTCTCCCGAATAACATCATTTCTAATCTTATCTATCCTAGTGTGCCCGCACATCTACCTCAACATTCTCATTTCTGCTACTTTCATCTTCTGGATATGTGAGTTCTTAACGGGCCAACACTCAGCCCCATACATCATGGCCGGTCTAACCACCGCTTATAGAACTTACCTTTGAGTATTGGTGGCACTCTCTTGTCACACAGGACTCCAGATGCTAACCTCCACTTCATCCATCCTACCCCAATACGGTGTGTGACATCCTCGTCGATCTCCCCTCCACTTGATAACCGAACCAAGGTACTTAGCTGTCTCTACTCGGGATGACCTGTGATTCAAGCCTCACATCCACGCCCACTTCCCTCGGCTCATCGCTTAACTTACACTCCAGGTATTCCAGTCTTCGTCCTGCTCAACTTGAAATCCTTAGACTCAAGAGCTTGTCTCCAAACCTCCAGCCTCTCGTGAACACCGGCTCACGACTCATCAATCAGAACTATGTCATCGGTGAATAACATGCACCATGGCACCTCCCCTTGAATATGGTGTTAACGCGTTGATCACCAGGGCGAATAAGAACGGACTGAGCGCAGAACCTTGGTGTAACCCCATTACAACCGGAAAATGCTCAGAGTCGCCTCCTACTGTCCCCCTCCGAGTCTTAGCCCCATCATACATGTCCTTAATCGCCATAATGTAGGGAACCGAAACACTTGTTGCCTCTAGGCATCTCCAGAGAACTTCTCTAGGTACCTTGTCATACGCTTTCTCTAGGTCAATAAAGACCATGTGCTGATCCTTCTTTCTCTCTCTGTACAGTTCCACCAACCTCCTAACAAGGTGTATAGCTTCTGTAGTCGAACGACCCGGCATGAACCCGGACCGGTTGTCGGATACATCCACTGTCATCCTCACCCTCGTTTCAACCACCCTCTCCCACACTTTCATGGTATGACTCAGTAATTTGATACCCCTATAATTGTTACAACTCTGGATATCACCTTTATTCTTATACAATGGGACCACCGTACTCCACCTCCACTCATCCGACATCCTCTTCGCCTTAAAAATAACATTAACCAATCTAGTCAACCACTCCAAACCTGTTCTCCCCCACACACTTCCAAAATTCCACCGGAATCTCGTGTGGCCCGGTCGCTCTGCCTCTACTCATCTTACGCATAGCTCCTACGACCTCCTCAACCTCGATACGCCTGCAGTACCCAAAGTCACGGTGACTCTCGGAATGCTCCAATTCGCCTAGCACAATATCCCGGTCCCCTTCTTCATTCAGAAGTTTATGATAGTAAGTCTGCCATCTCCTCTTAATCTGGGCATCTTCCATCAATACTCCACCATCTTCGTCCTTGATGCATCTCACTTGGTCCAAATCCCGTGCCTTCCTCTCTCTCAACTTGGCCAGCCGGAATAACTTCTTCTCCCCGCCTTTTTTACCCAGTTCCTCGTACATACGACCATAAGCCGCAGTCTTAGCCTCCGTGACCGCCATCTCAGCCTCCTTCCTAGTTGTCTTATACCTCTCCATGCACGCTCGCCTCTCCTCCTCATCTATGCTCCCCACTAACTTCAGGTACACCGCCTTCTTCGCTTCCACTTTACCTTGGACCACTTCATTCCACCACCAGTCTCCTTTGTGCCCACTAGAGACGCCCGTCGAGACTCCTAACACCTCTCTCGCAGCCTCCCTAATACAGTCTGCTGTCGCTGACCACATAGTGCTCGCGTCACCACTGCTCCTCTAAGCTCCCATAGCCGATAACCGCCCCTCTTACTCTTGGGCTTTATCCTTAGTTAAGGCTCCTCACCTGATTCTCGGTCTTCCTCGAGTAGACCTTTTCCTCCTCTTTAACATAATACCAACGTCCATCACCAAGAGCCTATGCTGCGTCGTGGGTATCTCACCCGGAATCACCTTGCAATTCTTGCACAGTCCTCTGTCACCCCTCCTGAGGAGGAGATAGTCAATCTGAGTCTTCTCCATCGCATTTTGAAAAGTACTTTTTTATTTATTATTTCAGGGTGTCCATTTTCTTTTCTGAAAAACCTTTTAATTTTGAGAAATCTTTGATTTCTAGAACTTTTATTTATTTATTATGTCTAGTTATCTATTTCAGTCTGGAAAAAATAGAAAATCAGTGCCCGAGATCTGCCAAAACGTTACACATTTTGGAGTTTGAACGCATATTCTAAATCATGCTATACAATTCTGGAATCCACTATTGCATTAGTGATTTGTGTAATTGCATATAGATCAGAAGAATGAAGCTTGCTTGCTTTATCTATCAAACTCTGATGATGTAGTTAATGCATAACCTTTTTGATAAACAATGAGCTTTTCCCATTTTGGACATGTTTTCTCTGTCATTTAACAATGTTGTCTATCTGTAGGGTGTGCTAGCTCTCTGTGGCATGCATGATTCAGAAGCAAAGCCTGTATTGCTTTGCTCTTGCAATGACAAAACAATTCGCGTCTATGATTTGCCATCGTAAGCTTCACACTCAGCCTTTGTTGTTGGAATTCATTGTTGGTTCCTGTTATTAAATGGATCTTTTACAACATTACTTCTTCTGTTTAGCTTTTCCGAGAGGGGGAAAATATTCTCGAAGGAGGTCGTTCGTCGAATCGAGATCGGTCCTGGTGGTTTATTTTTTACCGGTGATGAATCAGGTCAACTTAGAGTCTGGAAGTGGTTAACTGAATCCAGCAGTACAGCTTGAGAGGATTGCTGCATTTACAGTGATAATATCCTTGTTATTGGTCAGCAGTTGTCTTGTTTTTCTTCTCCCATTGAGAAAATGTACCAAGCAAGGGAATATATAATAAGATAAAGTAGTACGTACCAGTTTTGATTTTTCAGAGGTAGGATTCCGGGTCACGTCCTATTAGCCTTGCTGTTTTTTGTTGCTTTAACTATTGAGCTCTTGATAGAATCCAGACATATTTTTTCTTAGTCTGGTTTGTACTCAAAATCATGATATTCATGTAAATCTCTGGAGGACATTTCTGGTCTGTCCTGTATTGTTTTTCACGAGTTATGGATGTATGTAGCTCAAAAACTCCTTGTGTAACCTTGAATAAGATATGCACCACCAGAAGACTGAAAGCTTCTTCACGTTGAACTATGTTTTTATGAGTGCAATTCCACCGAGTAGTACTGTGGAAGTTAGTATTTCTAGAGAATGGTATAGAATTATTTCTTATTTCTAAGTGTTAGTTACTTCTGTAAGGATACTTACTTTAAGAGTCTTCTAAATAGAAAACCCCAAATATATATGTGGTTCAAGTTCACGTTAATTAGCCTAGATATTATTGTACACTTCAAAATCTACGCTATTATCTTTTCGAACCTCTACTATTCCAATTTACTTTTCCTTATTTCAATTTTTATTTTTAAAATGTTACGTGCGAAGACATAAAAGGTACACCATCCATTCACTTTTATGTGTTTATTATACTAAAAATATATTTTCAATTTGACTTATATTAAGTTAGAAGAAAGATAATTTTTTTTTTGATTTGCCATTATTATTAATTACTTATTTCTCAAGACTTTTGAAAATATTATTATTATTGTTATGAGTAAAATTATAAAAAATATATTTTATTTATTTTTATTAAAGGGAGTGCAAGTCAAAAATGAATAAGGAGTACTAACAAGCGATATCATTACTGTATACTCCATTAGAAATGGGAGTTGGTGTACGAACAGGGGTACATTAGAAATTTCAATTTTGTGTAAGGGTAAATTGGTGATTATAGATGCCATTTCCAATTGACACGTATGGGCAGTAATTGATAAAACTAAACCACGTGTACTACCTTATTTTGCCCCACAATTGGTTTCCACTTTATTTCACGCACTTTTTATTGCATTTCATTTCTCTCATTCTTCTTCGTTCTTCTACTCTGCTGGATATTTTATAGTCATGTTGCGAATTTACACAAAGATTCACTGATGGTGTCCGATTAGCGGTGTCAAAATAAGCGGGTTGGATTGAATTTGAGCGGGTTAAGATGGGTTAGGTCAATAAATGGGTGATTGTCTAACCCAGTCCAAAGTTTACTTGGGCTAATATGGGCTGAGTCAAGATTTGCTAAACAATGGGTCATAGCCCAACTTGACCCATGTTTTAAAAACATGCTCATTTTGCATCAACCCTTTTACTTTTTATACACCTATGTATAAAATATAAATAAATACTATTAGTATTTTGAGAATCAAAATATATTTTCTTTTAACAAGTGCTCGAATTTTCAGTATATTATGCTGGAACTTTTCGCGCGTTGGAGTTCCAACATAATATGCTGGAAGTTCATACACAGGTACACCGAACTCTAGTATATATTATGTTGGACCGGTCTATGTTGCAGTAAAATAATGGCTATTTTTTAATGACTTGATAAACACTGGCTATTTTTGAATGACCAGTCCGAAAACTGGCTAGCCCGTGTTATTTTTACGTCAGAATGGGTTACAAAAAATAATGGGTTAACTTGAGCTCAGCCCAAATTGATCCATGAACTAAAATATTATAGCCCAACCCATTAATCTCTGGGCGGGTTAGATGAGTTTGGGCTCAAATTGTCACCCTTATGGCGGATGATATTCTTGTAATAACTATTTTTTTTTAAACTTTTCTCTTCTGATATGTGTTCTACCACACTCTTGAATCATTCAGCAATCTGAATGGTATTTTTGTGTTTTAAATTCAACGTTCAATCCAAAAGGTGATTTTCTGTTATAAATTGAGCCTTACTCCCTACTTTCATTCTAAATTTATATGGGATTCCTCATATTATTTGCACAAATAACTAGACTCACATTTTAATTTGAGCACATGTATGTCCAGTATAACTTAACTGATGAATCAAAAGAAATAAAATAATATCAGTTATCACGAAATTTTACACCAAAATTTTTAATGAGAACATGCATGTGGAGAAGAAGGTGAATTTTCTTTTTATGATTACTGCAGTTAAAGAACACTTTCTGCAGTAGTTCAGTATCCTAATTCCTGCAATCTGATATGCTCGAGAAACATATAGGTTGGCATGTGATTTGTCATTTCGTAAATTATATTAAAAACAACGGGTTCTTCTTGGTACACGACTGCGTTGAAATGTTTTAGTCCACAATGAGCATACGAGATGAACTTTTGGTTTGGTGAATTGAAGTTGGTCTAAGGTGTACTAGGACTACCCTGGTTACTGACACCATTGATTAATTTTGTAGAGTTGAGCTTGCGTTTTGCTTTTTATTAAATACGTGCAGCTACAGGACTCTCTTTTAGAGCAATTTTAGTCCTTATGCATAGCTGACCAATTTTTATTAATAAGATATGAAAGTTCTTTTCATTTGTTCAACCGAAATTTTCCTTAATGCAGGTCAAGGTTTAGTGAAGATAATTCTTTCAAGCAGGTTATTCTTATTAATTAAGTTTTTGTTCAATGACCGATTGAAATAAATGATTATTATTTGTACTTTCATTGAGTAGCTTTTGATTGCCAAAAAAACTTAGAATGTTGGTGTGCTTGTGTTTATGACCCTCTGTGTTCTTTTTCTTGGGATCATTGTGAATCTTCATAACTAACATAAGTGACATTGGACAATATAGATAGATCAAAACGAGCCTTGAAGGGATAGAGAACATCTTTAAATATTACAAGAATACTTACGTTTTCAGGAAAAAAATACGTTTTACTCATCACTGGCGCAGGTTCCATCATTTACCCTTTTATATTTTTGAATTCTTATAGCATAATGGTCAATCTCTATGAATGAGTGAGTGAGAGAGAGAGATTACAATTTTATGTGGTATTTTTTTTCTTAACTTTATGTGGTATTAAGGTAAGTAGTATTGTAGAAAAAAAGTTCAGCTTTACATTGAGGCTCATGATACTTTCTTCTCTTTAATATTGGATGAAAAATTTGTTTACTCGGAGATTCCTCTCTTTTTTTATTTATTAATTTTGTAACGTTGAATATGTATGTGTTATTTTATACCTTTCTCAGTTCATTTAAGTATGATTTAGTGAGAGTTGAGCATATAGAATTATATTATGATCTTTGTTCTAGAAAAGAGCTCAAACTAAAATATATCGTGGATACCAATCACTTTTTATGTCCATGATATAAGGAATAATACTAACTTTTTCTTACTTGGTGGGGATTAACAGCAGAGAGCATCTGAATACGTTTGATACTTCTTTGAATTATTAATGACCCAATCTTACTTTTTTTTTACTTGGTTTCAATCAGTGTTTTCATCAACACAGGTAGGGATTAACCATAAAAAGCATTTGAATACTTTGATTTGCCCAACCCTCGATTACTGCCCTCAACTGAAGTTAAGATGCATCTTATATGGAAGAGACAATATGATGTAGTAGATTATTTCAATTAAAAGAGTACATGCTCTTCACTGATTATGCTGTTGATAACTGGGAAAGAGATAAAAAATGAGATGCATTTTGTATATTTGTACCAAAAGGTAGCAACTGAAAGAGTTTCCCTGTTCTCTAATTACAGTTAAGTTGTTTGAGAGTCTCAGAAATAAAAAGAATAAAGAAAAAGGAATATCCACATCTTTATAGATGAGCCAAAGTACCAGAACAATGAGGTTACATGAACCGACAATTGGATTTTATAGCAGAGAACCTTAAGGGCCAAAAAAATCTTCAACTATTTCAAATAGCTCAAAAATACCCTCCATTTGTTTTTGGTACTAAAACTATCTCTGTCGTCTATGTTTTGGACCACAAATGCCCCTTAAAACGTTAGCCTTGCCATTGAAGCTGACATGACCGTCCAAATATGTTAGATTTGCTTACATGGCCATCCACCTAAGCAACTTGGTTAAATTTGTTAACGTGGCCGTCCATTTAGGCAGCCCAAACTTGGCAGAAATCTCCTTCCTTTATGCTTTGTTCTTCCTTG